CTTCCTCGTCATCCGAGGAACCGAAGAAGTTCTGATAGGAGTACCCAGTCTCCTTTTCTTTGCAGATTGGAGACTTCCAGTCGGTTCAAAGCGATCGCAGGGACTTTGCACATAAAAAATGCAGGTGTAACGCTGGCGCATTCGGTCTCTTATGATATTTCTACTTTAAAAAACTCAGAATTCGTTTCATACGTGCAATGAAAGAAGTGAAGCACGAAAATGATTCACAGCGGACAGCTGCTCAAAAGCACGAGGAGGAGATGAAATCGTTAAAGAAGCAGCTTCGTCTAGCAGAAGAGGCGAGAGACGATGCACAAGTGCACAGCAATGAATTACGTGAGACGCTGCTGTCGTCCGAGTCTCGATGTAAGCGTCTTCAGCGCGAACTGGAGCTACTGGAGCATGTTTCCTACTTCTCGCAAGCTATCGTCGACCAGGACGACGAAGAAAGCGATTCGGATGACGAGATCATTGAAGAAAAAGATCTTAAAACGGTTGTGTCTGCCAAACCGAGCATTGATACGAAGACTGACGACTGTGATGCAGAAGATCCGGCTATGCCGTCACCGTTAGGGATCAAACGAAGGCGGTCCTTCCTCGCGGCGAATGCTGTGCCGTATTCACCGTTCCCAAGGTCTGTCGTCGCTGAAGACGGCGAGCAGGTTACCGTGTCCAAGTCGGAGTTGGAGACTCACAAGAAACTCCACCACTATTTCCACTTAACGGCGTTAAGTATTATCAACGAAAACAATTTGCACGAACGCTGCTTCAGCTCATCAAGTCGCCTCACGATCGACATGTGGTACCGTGAGATCAGTGCAAAAGAAGTTCCGTTCCTCATGTGGCACTCGTGGCTCATCAACCGCATCAGTGAAGTAGCTGCGTCTGTACAAGACGAAGATAAAATGCCTCAGCCGCCGACGTCTTCCTCAAAGCACCCAAGTTTCGGAGGCGCTTTCCACGGGTTTTCACTGAGGAAAAAAAGCGATAGTGGCGAGAACGGCGCGCAGAACGCACTTCCGTCACCACCGACGGCGTCACCAGGGGCGTCGCCAGTGGCTCGTGTGCCGTTTACAGTGGCACGAGCATTCTTTCGTTTGCTGCGAAAGAGAACTCATGCAGGAGCAGACTCTTCACAAGTCAATGGGTCTCCGGTTAGTGGTTCTCCCGCTGGATAAGAGCAGTTTGGACATGTGCAGCCATGTTACTTACATGAGAACACAAAATGTAGCTTAGTTGTTTCATATTAAAGCCAATCCATCTTATCCATCTTATAACCGTAGGACAACGTTGTACGATGTACACATTTTTCTGCTCGATCCACGTGAATATTTAATACTTTGTGTAATAGTGCCTCGCGCTGGATAAAGTGCAGAAGAAGTCCCGAAAGTACTGGACAAAGACTGGAAACTTCATAAAGACCAATAGTGCCGCCCGCTATTTCTGCTCTACCACCTCCATATTCCCCGTTATTTGAATAATAGGCTAAAGATTTAAACCTACACCAAGGCGAAAGGGTATATGTTATGGATGACTATCT